TGAACCGCTGCTTCCCGACGTAGTTTATCATTATTTGTTCCTAGAGAAGTTAATCTCGGGTTCTGAATAACAATGATGCATTCAGGGGAACACTCCTTTCCAACTTCATCCTTACATCAAATACGTTGTGCTGTTGCGGAGAGTTTGAAGCAAGAAGCGTCACATTGTCAATAGTATCGAATTCTGAGTCCATAGGAGGGGATAAGCACTTACAACTTCATATTTTGATTGATAAAACATTATGGTTAGTGGATGCATGACATTAATGTTCGAATATATGATTTATTGCTTGAATCAATACATATTGTTTAGTGAAGTGGTGATATCTGGACCAATTGGTAAATGATTTCATAGAAACGATTAAGACCGATTCTGATTATCAAACAGACATGAGATTTCCACATGTGATTATTGTACATTTAATTATTGCTTTCCATATCTTTCTTACCAAACCCTAACAAATCCTTTAGGAATCTCTTTGTCTCTGGTTCTTCCTTCACTAGTCGCCTCACAATGATGCCTTCTTGGATCATAATTGCATAGCTCAATCAAAGGAATAAAATTCCTTGTTCGAGAACACAAGAACAAGGTATTCCAAAGAGCTTGGGTACACTACAAAAAAGACTGTCATTAGTGACGAAAATTAGCGACGACAAATGAAACTCGTCGCTGATGATGACTTTTACTGACAAAATTATATTGTTGTCAGTAATATTTCGTCAACTGGTTGTGTATTTGTGACAAAGGCTAACCTCGTCGGTAAATACGAAAATTCTCGTCATTAAACTCATTATCTGGAGGGAAATTTTGGCGCCATCACTTTTTATGACGAATAAAATATTGTTGTCGGTAATGCTTGTTTTTTGGTCAGAATGTTGTCGATAATGTTTCAACAAGTAGTTGTGTATTTGTGACCGAATTTATACCACATCGATAAAGACAACAAATATGTCACCAAACCTATCTTTTGTAGGAAAAATTGGCGTTATCATTATTTATTTATGATGACTGAAATTATGTTGACAGTCATATTTAGTTCAATACTTGTTTGTTTGAGATTATCCTACTTACCTCGTTAAATACAAGCTGCTTCATTGTCCTTCATTTGAAAAATGATAAGTTGTAGTTTTGAAAAGCTCAAACTCAGTGAAAGTCAACAAATATAAGGAATGTAAATTGTAGGATAAATTTTGATAAAAAATAAACAGAATTAGGTTTGCAATAAAAGAGCTTCTCAATTATATTATAATAAAAAACTATATTATAATAACATATTAACTATAAATAATAGCTAAAAGGGGAAGCAATGGAAATGTATACTTGTGTACGCTGGAAATATGTTGTAGAGACAATAATTTAAAAGAAAATGTGGGAAGGCAGGAACAAAAAAAGATTTTGTCCGTGGTTTCTTTTCATTCTCATAATCCTACCTTGTCGCCGGTAATGGGTAAAAATATATAACACAGTTTCTTATTTTATTTTATTAATAGTGGTTAATAATCTAGTTCAATCTCAGCCATCACATTTTGGAATTAGATCCTGACCGCTGGTTTAAGTTTTTCATAACAAAAACCCTAGCTTCTCCACATCTTCCCCGCTGGCCGCTGCCGTTCCCCTACATCTTTCTATTTTTCCCTTGCGGAAATCCTCTCTTCTTCTCTTCATTTTAATTTCTTTTTCTATGAAATTAGTCCAACTCACCTCCTTCAACCTTCTTCTTTTTCTCTTTTGCAGTCATGGAGACAGTGATAATGGATGAAGATCAAGCCCGTATAGATTCGATTGTCGGTCCTCTTCCTTCTCGATACATCATTGTTCTTCTTTTCTGATCACTCTCGTTTCAATTTTCTCAATGAAGATGCAATTGCGCTTTTGTTGCTTGCATACTCCCCCACGGTATGAGATGTGTTCTTTACGAAGCGGCGGTAGCAGATCTTGTCCGTTCCCTATTTTGAAGGGTTTCTCCATACTATATGTATATATATTTGCAAGATTTATGTATTGTGGGTGACATGTTGTTAAGTGTTAGATCTATGGTTTTTTCGATTTCTAACTCATTTTTTTCCCTCTTGACTTGGGCTTGCAGTTTACAAATGGTCACCGGCGACAAGAACTGATGCATTTGGTGGAGGTGACGAAAAGTCTAAAGCAGTGATTCATGATTTTCTTTAATCATTATTGACTACTGTTTAGTCTTTTTTTAACTTTCTCAATTTGTATACATCTTTTATAGCTCAATGTATATATTTTTAATTCAAAGTGTATGTTGTTAAGAATGTATGATCAGAGTATAGTAAGTGAAGCTCCCCAAAGAAAAGAAAAAGTGTGAGTTATGATTAACTTCATAATTGAGAATAAAATACGTATTATTTCATATGTTTTATTTGGTTTCATGAATATCAAATTAATCATAAAAAATGATCCATAACAATAAGCATTTGTCTAACGTTATCAGCGACGGGCCAATGTTGTCATGAATATAACAAAATTTTGTCACAAATGCAATATGGTCGTCAAATTAGTAAATATAGAAAAACCTTCTCTGACAGCCCATTATTTTTAGTAACGACCTCGTACCGTCACAAATAGTCTTTTCTGACGGCTTGTCACACAAAAACTATTTGTGACGCTCGTATTTGGAACGGAACGCGACGGCTGCATGGCGTCGCAAAAGGGCATTTGCGACGGAATCTGAGCTTTACTGACGAAATCCTCTGGTCATTGCTGACAGTCTTTTTTGTAGTGGTAAGCTTGTTTGAATGGGGTTTCGATGGAAACGAAAGGGAACTCTTACACCAGGAAGAGTGCTCGATCGTTATGAGGTCGCCTTCGATGTAATCGAGGGGGTTTGCTTGATTAATAGGCCAATATTCAGCAAGCTTAATTTGATCGCAACCAAAACAAGACAACTTCACAACTCAAAACGTTGGGAATTTTGGGGTTATCTTCATAAATCAACTCTGTCTGAACTTCACAATACATGAATGAGGGCTTTTAAAGGCATAAACAAGCTAAAACAAACCTAAACACTAATGGAAACTAAACTAATTCAGCAAGGAAACTAAATTATACAAGTAATCCGAATCCAACTCGGAATCCTAATGTCATGCGGATTTCTGGCAGCTCGAGACAACATCTTTGAGTGCCTCGAAAATTATCTTCCCAGGCCATTCGTCTTCATCCAATTTCTGCCCTTGGTTTAGTAAGTACTCTTCTTTCCATGGCAACTCGAATTAGTCTCTGCTTGTGTCCCAAACTCCAGCTATTAAGTTCCAAAGTTGGCACCTTGATCTCGCTATTTGCCTTAGCCAAAAATGGCAGATTCTCGGTTTTAATTTGGCAACTTGGAGAGCTTCAATCATGGTCTTCCATACTTCAATTGGAACTTATAAGCCTTCCATCTTGCACAGGTTTACTCCATCTTCAAAAACAAGCCATCAAACTCAAATTTTCATTGAATGACTTGATCGAACCAAGCCTCCAAAGTTGGTAACATGAAACACATAAAAGACTTAACCAAAATTCAGATTCTTTCTGCCTTGTGAAACTAACTTCTTGATCAATCCATGAAAGCTCAAAGGTTAAGCAATTTGGGATCATATCAATTAGGATCAAATATTAACATATAAGTCCTTTACATGTCACATTATCACCCTTACCGTCTCTCTCATTCTCATAGAATCCTTGTCTATTTGCTTAGGCACTGATATCAATATTCTCAGGTTCACTCGAAGTACATTTAACACCAATCATATTTCCATGTTCACAATCATATCTCTCAAAGGTAAATAATTGATTGGTGCATTCCCTTCTTCATTGAGCACTTGATCATCCTCAGTTTTATTGGCTTCCTAATCTTCAGCAATTCATTCGTCATCAGATTCGATATCTTTAAATATACGTTCAAAATCTTTCTACATTGCCCTCCAGATAAGCTTTGAGTTATACATCACGTAGACAAGGTTACTAGGATATAGTCCACAAGTTGAGCTAGGGTTGTAGTCGGCCTTGTAAACGCATGGGAGGTACAGCCGACCCGATGATGTACGGAACTCTGAAAAATATGGAGAACTATTCCTCCATTGTGCATGGTAATGAAAGGTAGGCAAACAACAGGTTAAGAAGACTTTATAACGAGCGTAGACAAGTCTGAACGGGTTGATGGTCGAGAAAACCACGTATATCGCGTAATTTTCTTATACAAGTAGAAGGTCTCTAACGCAAGGTTTTTTTAAAATATAATTATTATGAAGCGTGTGTATGGGTTGGATTTTTTTTTTATGGATATTGGTTGAATTTTTGAACACCCAGTTGTGACGGCTTCGTGAACAAAGAAGGCAGCCAAATAATTCAGGTATTGGCTTACGTACGTCTATGCGCCTTGCGCGTCGGGACTGTTTTTCTACGTACGCATTTTCACCTTGACCTTGTGATTCAGGTCATTGGCTTGACCCTTGAAACTAATTATATATTCATCTCCTCTCCCCATTCTATTCTACGATGGAATGTTATAATACGTACACCATTAATTAATTAATTAATTAATTGTCAAAGGACACGCTAAATTGGTTTGCCTGCATGTAGAACTAGAACTATATATAAAGAGCGCTCAGCCCTCATTCAACCAACAACCACAAGCAAACATCTTCTTACCGAAGGCAAATTTAAAAACAAAGATTCATCAGCAAGCAAACTGATTCTCTCTCTCGACTCATTTCCCCCACAAAACAAAAGAAAACAAAACATGGTGAGCTCAGATATCTCAACCGCCTCTCCTAGAAAGCTGGAGGGCAAAGTGGCAATCATCACCGGCGGAGCTAGCGGCATAGGCGAGAGCACCGCCAGGCTGTTCGTCCACCACGGAGCCAAGGTCCTCATCGCCGACGTTCAAGACAAACTCGGACAGTCCCTCGCCATGGATCTCGGCCCGCCGGAGATCGTCTCCTTTGTCCACTGCAACGTTACAAGTGATTCTGACCTTGAGAATGCCGTTGATACAGCGGTGTCAAGGTACGGCCAGCTAGACATCATGTACAACAACGCTGGAATCGGAGGTAACCTCGACACCACCATCTTAAACTCGGACAACGCCGACTTCAAGAAGGTGCTTGAAATCAACCTCTTCGGATCCTTCCTCGGAGCCAAACACGCCGCCAGGGTTATGATTCCCGCAAGGAAAGGTTGCATCTTGTTCACCGGCAGCGTTGCCGCTTCTATAAGTGGCGACTTGTCTTACGCATACAAGGCTTCCAAGCATGCTATTTTGGGGCTCAACAACAACTTGACCGTGGAGCTGGGCAAGTACGGCATCAGGGTCAACACCATTTCTCCCTATGGAGTGGCCACTCCCATGGTCACAAGCGGCATGCAAATGGACAAGAAGGCTGCTGAGGAATTCATGTCCGCCGCTGGAAACTTGAGAGGGGCTATCCTCGAACCCGAGGATGTTGCTCGGGCTGCCTTATACTTGGCCAGTGACGATGCAAAATACGTGAGCGGATTGAATTTGATAGTTGATGGAGGCCACAATCACAACCATCCGCTTTTTGGTGCAACAGATTCGCTTGCCAACTGATTACCTCTTCCCTTCCCTTCCTTGATGCACAAATATTCATTTATTTATTGTCTTAAATTTCCTATTATGTACCTAATCAGCCTAGTACCCTCTCATAAACATTGTTTCATTTGTATTTGTATATTATTAAAATGACTTATCCAATTTTTATAATTTCATTGGTTATATGCTATTGTTTCATTTCGGATCCTTAAAATGATAACTAGTTAATATCCCACTACTACCAATTTACAAATTTCATAAGTCATTTTCCCAAATTCAATCCTTTAATTTCGTAATTGTGGCGATCCTAGATAGATCTTACCGAATCCTCGACGTGCATTGCTAGACGCTCATTATCTTTTATTAACATATAATTAATCTCGGTAATCAAAAAAACTCTACGGGTCACAAGAAAAATTCTTCCAAAATGCGAGCAAAATGATGTGTTTGAATCATTCCGTTCCTAACACTAGCTACATCGCCCTACTAGAAATTCTTGCTTATTATAAATCTCCACTGAACTGGGACTGATTGGATGCAAAATCTACCACCCTCATTTGATTGTAGAGATAACGATCCTTATCCAGTTGAGCGCTTTTATTGTGGTATCTTGATTATCAATTTTAAAGAGGTATTCCTGTGCAAATAGGATCAAGGGTTAATTATGACATTAAAGGTATAGAATAGACTGTATTACGGTTATTTTTATTCTAGAGCTTTTTTTCTTTCTTAAATTCTGATTGTTTTCCCTAGCACGGGGAACTTTTTCAGAAACACCACTTAATAAAAAAATTCAAAAATACCACCAATTTCCGAAAAATTCCAAAAACACCACATTTCCCGAAAACCGCTTGGGGAGGGTGCCTTTTTCACTGAAAACCGCATTGGGGCATGGCGGTCTAATAAACTACGCCGAGAAGCAGCTCTTTGTATGTATATATATTTTTTTTCATCCGACTTTAGTCGAATCTTCAAACAAACGTAACTTTGTGCTCCGGTATCCGATCGTAGCGAGATATTTTTTGATTCCGCATAACTTTTCGAGATCTTGCAAGCCGCAAACTGCCGTAGGCGGTTTGATCTCGCCTTCTTCTGGAAAAAATGTCGTTTGCTACCCCAAATGAGCTTATTTCCGACAGTACAACAAAGTTACTCTTCTGTGAAAAAATATTCTGTGATGGGTCAAATTTCGTCACATAATGTACATTTTGTGTGACGAAATTTACTGCTTGTCACAAAAAGCTTAAAATTTTTGTCAGACCTAGCAAAAAACTATTCGTGACGAAATAAATCTTTCCTGTGATGCAGTCCAACGTCACCTTTAGTTCATTGTTTTATGTGGCGCAGTTTATCTTTACATATGTTAAATGTCGTTTTGGTGACAATGTAAGTAGTGACATAAAATTTTATTTTTTGAAAAAGATATTTATTCTATTAGAACATTAGTGATGACCCCTCCCCTCTGTCTCTCTCTCATCTAATCGCTCTCGCGTAGAAAAAAACGCAATCCAACTCCAGAAGAAAGAAAAATGGCGTTATCCTTCTCCCAGGAAGATCCAATACTTTGAGTCACCGAGCAGTGTTGGGGTCGATGGTGTGAGGAAGACAGCCAGCAGTTCCCCAAAGCTAGCGCTCTAATCAGATCTCATCTACCTTTCTTCACTCTCGCTTTCTCTATAAAAGATCCAAAATCCCTAGATCCATTGCTCCAAACTAATCCTATAAATCCCCAAATCTCTAGCATTAATCGATCTCGTAGGATTCGAGCAATCCAAGAAGGTTAGTAGCATCGATTAGCCCAGATTAATATCCTCAAAGTTCATGGTTGTTTCCCTTCTTTCGAGAGTACGATCTCGATATCCGCCTTTTCTGATTGGGGTGTAGAGGCGATGGTAGAACAATTTCGTCCATTCGATTTGACCTAATTCATGACAATTGACAAGTATCTTCTATTTCGTGTATTAGAGGTGGAGAGTTGCTTGGCTCTCAATTGGTCGTTCCTTGTGATTCTTCATGTTTCCATTTGATGGATTGTGCTCTGTTATCCATATTGAAGTCAGTAAACTTGTGGAAGGAAGGTGGCTGGATAATGAGGAGTTCATTATTTGGATGAAATGATATTCAATTCCGCGATTGGAGGCCCTATTAAGTCGAAATATTAAACAAATGTAACTTTGTGCTCAGGTATCCGATCGTAGCGATTTTTTTTATTCCAACATAACTTTTCCAGATCTTGCAAGCCGCAAACTGCCACAGACGGTCTGGTCTTGCCTTCGTCCCGATAAAACGATGTTAGCTACCCCGAACGAGCTTTTATCCGATTTCGCCAAACTTTGGACGACTATAACTTTGTTCTCCGCAATCCGAATGTCATGATTTCTATTTTGATTTCGTCTAACTTTTCAAGGATTACAATTTTTATCATATTCATAATTTCTGAATGTACTTGGATTTGTGAAAAGTGAAGGTAAAGCTATTCCCAAAATCCCGTATATCCAGAAATAATTCCTGTTTTGAAAATTCCTTCCATGTAAAAGTTGTATTCCTTCTAAAGTTACGCGAAATTAAAAAAAAATTCATGACGTTCGAAGTGCGGAGCCTAAAGTTATAGTCGTCCAAAGTTTGGCGAAATCGATCGGAAAAAAGCTCATTCGGGGAAACAAACGGCGTTTTTCTAGGACAAAAGCGGAACCAAACCGCCTGCAGAAGTTTCGCCATGCAAGATCTCGGAAACTTAAGCGGAATAAAAAACTCGCTACGATCGGGTACGCGAGCACAAAGTTATGTTTGTTTCATGTTTCGACATAAGATTGGATTGAAATAAAATATCCATACAAACTGTTGTATAGGGGGTGGGGGGGGGGTTTGCACATGAACCGCTGCTTCCCGACGTAGTTTATCATTATTTGTTCCTAGAGAAGTTAATCTCGGGTTCTGAATAACAATGATGCATTCAGGGGAACACTCCTTTCCAACTTCATCCTTACATCAAATACGTTGTGCTGTTGCGGAGAGTTTGAAGCAAGAAGCGTCACATTGTCAATAGTATCGAATTCTGAGTCCATAGGAGGGGATAAGCACTTACAACTTCATATTTTGATTGATAAAACATTATGGTTAGTGGATGCATGACATTAATGTTCGAATATATGATTTATTGCTTGAATCAATACATATTGTTTAGTGAAGTGGTGATATCTGGACCAATTGGTAAATGATTTCATAGAAACGATTAAGACCGATTCTGATTATCAAACAGACATGAGATTTCCACATGTGATTATTGTACATTTAATTATTGCTTTCCATATCTTTCTTACCAAACCCTAACAAATCCTTTAGGAATCTCTTTGTCTCTGGTTCTTCCTTCACTAGTCGCCTCACAATGATGCCTTCTTGGATCATAATTGCATAGCTCAATCAAAGGAATAAAATTCCTTGTTCGAGAACACAAGAACAAGGTATTCCAAAGAGCTTGGGTACACTACAAAAAAGACTGTCATTAGTGACGAAAATTAGCGACGACAAATGAAACTCGTCGCTGATGATGACTTTTACTGACAAAATTATATTGTTGTCAGTAATATTTCGTCAACTGGTTGTGGAACTTGAAGACAAGGATTCAAGCCTAGAAGAAGAAGAAGATCTTGAGCTCAAATTTGTAATCCTTCTTACTCTCTCTAGAGACTCACTCTTTTCTCTTGGATGTTGTAGATCCATAACTAATACTTTGTAATTACTTGTTTAGATTGAATGATTTCGTATGAGTTTGCAACAATTTGAGTATTAGAGGTGTTTTCAGGGTGATTGTGCTTAGTTGTGCTTTCCAAATCTTGTGTGCTTGCCCAACCTAGATTAGAGGAAAACCGCACCTTTTTAGGTAGGCTTGACAAGCTTGGTTTTCTTGGGTACTTTGTGCCTACTATCTAGGTTAGAGATGAGCATCCTCCTTGACTCAAGTTTGCATCTAGGTTGGTTGTGATTAAGCCGCTCAAACTCCATTTGAGGGAGAGACCTAGGCAACCACTAGAGACTTAGTGAGTGGATCGATCCCGTGACAAATCGATCTCTAGTGAATCCATCCCGTGACAAATGGATCACTAGTTGCTCATTCTAGTGGTTCCCCTAGACTTGGTGAGTGGATCGATCCCGTGACAAATCGATCGCTAGTGAACTGATTCCGTGACAAATTGACCACTAGTTGCTCACCCCCGTGGTTCACAACCACCTATGCCACACGACTCCATTTAATCCAACGAGTCATGGTAGCTAGTTAGGGGGAAGCAACTCCTGGGTGAAGCTCCCTTAGTTAGAATTTTCCTTTATTTACTTTTCTTTGCTTGTTTAGTTAGAAGTTTTCTTAGTTTACAAAACCCCAAAACCGTTTTGCTAGATAACAACTTAAGCGATTGAAGTAGGGGTACATGGACCGGCCCGGGTTGACATTTTAAATACTTGCTCGATACTGCACCTGACTAGAGTTTAAAAATTTGGGCTCTAGTCGGGATTAATTTGTGGTGTAGTTTAGTGTGAGTCAGTGACTAATGCCAGTTAGGGGTTAAACATTTGTACCCGGAATGAGATGCTCCAAAACACATTTATTATTTTTGAAATTTTTGATGTTCAGAGCAGCGATTTCATGTGTCCCTTCCTTCCTTCTTTTGGTCACAAATATTTCCTCGTTGCTGTTGATTATGTCTCGAAGTGGGCTGAAACACAAGCTTTGCCCACCAATGATGCTAAGAGTGTTTGTGCATTTCTGAGCAGCTCTTCTCCTGGTTTGGGACCCCTACATCCATCATTAGCTATAGAAGCACCCACTTATAGGGTCAATTTGATAAGCTCTTCCCTCGCTATGGTGTACTCATAAGGTTTCATGCTTACCACCCTCAAGTATGTGGTTAAGTCGAGTTGACAAATTGGGTGTTGAAGCGTATTCTAGAAAAGACGGTGGATCAGTCCTTGCAGGACTGATCCTCCAAGCTCGATAATGCTCTGTGGATCTATCTCTCGGCTTATAAGACGCCTGTAGGTACTTCACCATATAGGCTTGTCAATGGCACGACTTGCCATTTGCCGGTTGAGATAGAGCATAAGACCTTGTGAGCCCTTAAGTTTCTTGATCTTGATGCCATTGTACCAAAATAGTCAAATTCGCTATTTTATATAAAAGTAAAATCAGAATCGTAAATTAAAATCGAAAAATTGTAAGATTTTAATGTTTATATTAACACTGATACTTAAAACACCAGATAGTAGTACCAATACATAAGATAATTAAGATCAAATATTAAAAACATCTTCTTACCGAAGGCAAATTTAAAAACAAAGATTCATCAGCAAGCAAACTGATTCTCTCTCTCGACTCATTTCCCCCACAAAACAAAAGAAAACAAAACATGGTGAGCTCAGATATCTCAACCGCCTCTCCTAGAAAGCTGGAGGGCAAAGTGGCAATCATCACCGGCGGAGCTAGCGGCATAGGCGAGAGCACCGCCAGGCTGTTCGTCCACCACGGAGCCAAGGTCCTCATCGCCGACGTTCAAGACAAACTCGGACAGTCCCTCGCCATGGATCTCGGCCCGCCGGAGATCGTCTCCTTTGTCCACTGCAACGTTACAAGTGATTCTGACCTTGAGAATGCCGTTGATACAGCGGTGTCAAGGTACGGCCAGCTAGACATCATGTACAACAACGCTGGAATCGGAGGTAACCTCGACACCACCATCTTAAACTCGGACAACGCCGACTTCAAGAAGGTGCTTGAAATCAACCTCTTCGGATCCTTCCTCGGAGCCAAACACGCCGCCAGGGTTATGATTCCCGCAAGGAAAGGTTGCATCTTGTTCACCGGCAGCGTTGCCGCTTCTATAAGTGGCGACTTGTCTTACGCATACAAGGCTTCCAAGCATGCTATTTTGGGGCTCAACAACAACTTGACCGTGGAGCTGGGCAAGTACGGCATCAGGGTCAACACCATTTCTCCCTATGGAGTGGCCACTCCCATGGTCACAAGCGGCATGCAAATGGACAAGAAGGCTGCTGAGGAATTCATGTCCGCCGCTGGAAACTTGAGAGGGGCTATCCTCGAACCCGAGGATGTTGCTCGGGCTGCCTTATACTTGGCCAGTGACGATGCAAAATACGTGAGCGGATTGAATTTGATAGTTGATGGAGGCCACAATCACAACCATCCGCTTTTTGGTGCAACAGATTCGCTTGCCAACTGACTACCTCTTCCCTTCCCTGATGCACAAATATTCATTTATTTATTGTCTTAAATTTCCTATTATGTACGTAATCAGCCTAGTACCCTCTCATAAACATTGTTTCATTTGTATTTGTATATTATTAAAATGACTTATCCAATTTTTATAATTTCATTGGTTATATGCTATTGTTTCATTTCGGATCCTTAAAATGATAACTACTTAATATCCCACTACTACCAATTTACAAATTTCATAAGTCATTTTCCCAAATTCAATCCTTTAATTTCGTAATTGTGGCGATCCTAGATAGATCTTACCGAATCCTCGACGTGCATTGCTAGACGCTCATTATCTTTTATTAACATATAATTAATCTCGGTAATCAACAAAACCCTACGGGTCACAAGAAAAATTCTTCGAAAATGCGAGCAAAATGATGTGCTTGAATCATTCCGTACCTAACACTAGCTACATCGCCCTACTAGAAATTCTTGCTTATTATAAATCTCCACTGAACTGGGACTGATTGGATGCAAAATCTACCACCCTCATTTGATTGTAGAGATAACGATCCTTATCCAGTTGAGCGCTTTTATTGTGGTATCTTGATTATCAATTTAAAGAGGTATTCCTGTGCAAATAGGATCAAGGGTTAATTATGACATTAAAGGTATAGAATGGACTGTATTACGGTTATTTTTATTCTAGAGTTTTTTTTCTTTCTTAAATTCTGATTGTTTTCCCTAGTACGGGGAACTTTTTCAGAAACACCACTTAATAAAAAAATTCAAAAATACCACCAATTTCCGAAAAATTCCAAAAACACCACATTTCCCGAAAACCGCTTGGGGAGGGTGCCTTTTTCACTGAAAACCGCATTGGGGCATGGCGGTCTAATAAACTACGCCGAGAAGCAGCTCTTTGTATGTATATATATTTTTTTTCATCCGACTTTAGTCGAATCTTCAAACAAACGTAACTTTGTGCTCCGGTATCCGATCGTAGCGAGATATTTTTTGATTCCGCATAACTTTTCGAGATCTTGCAAGCCGCAAACTGCCGTAGGCGGTTTGATCTCGCTTTCTTCTGGAAAAAATGTCGTTTGCTACCCCAAATGAGCTTATTTCCGACAGTACAACAAAGTTACTCTTCTGTGAAAAAATATTCTGTGATGGGTCAAATTTCGTCACATAATGTACATTTTGTGTGACGAAATTTACTGCTTGTCACAAAAAGCTTAAATTTTTTGTCAGACCTAGCAAAAAACTATTCGTGACGAAATAAATCTTTCCTGTGATGCAGTCCAACGTCACCTTTAGTTCATTGTTTTATGTGGCGCAGTTTATCTTTACATATGTTAAATGTCGTTTTGGTGACAATGTAAGTAGTGACATAAAATATTATTTTTTGGAAAAGATATTTATTCTATTAGAACATTAGGGACGATGATCCCTCCCCTCTGTCTCTCTCTCATCTAATCGCTCTCGCGTAGAAAAAAACGCAATCCAACTCCAGAAGAAAGAAAAATGGCGTTATCCTTCTCCCAGGAAGATCCAATACTTTGAGTCACCGAGCAGTGTTGGGGTCGATGGTGTGAGGAAGACAGCCAGCAGTTCCCCAAAGCTAGCGCTCTAATCAGATCTCATCTACCTTTCTTCACTCTCGCTTTCTCTATAAAAGATCCAAAATCCCTAGATCCATTGCTCCAAACTAATCCTATAAATCCCCAAATCTCTAGCATTAATCGATCTCGTAGGATTCGAGCAATCCAAGAAGGTTAGTAGCATCGATTAGCCCAGATTAATATCCTCAAAGTTCATGGTTGTTTCCCTTCTTTCGAGAGTACGATCTCGATATCCGCCTTTTCTGATTGGGGTGTAGAGGCGATGGTAGAACAATTTCGTCCATTCGATTTGACCTAATTCATGACAATTGACAAGTATCTTCTATTTCGTGTATTAGAGGTGGAGAGTTGCTTGGCTCTCAATTGGTCGTTCCTTGTGATTCTTCATGTTTCCATTTGATGGATTGTGCTCTGTTATCCATATTGAAGTCAGTAAACTTGTGGAAGGAAGGTGGCTGGATAATGAGGAGTTCATTATTTGGATGAAATGATATTCAATTCCGCGATTGGAGGCCCTATTAAGTCGAAATATTAAACAAATGTAACTTTGTGCTCAGGTATCCGATCGTAGCGATTTTTTTTATTCCAACATAACTTTTCCAGATCTTGCAAGCCGCAAACTGCCACAGACGGTCTGGTCTTGCCTTCGTCCCGATAAAACGATGTTAGCTACCCCGAACGAGCTTTTATCCGATTTCGCCAAACTTTGGACGACTATAACTTTGTTCTCCGCAATCCGAATGTCATGATTTCTATTTTGATTTCGTCTAACTTTTCAAGGATTACAATTTTTATCATATTCATAATTTCTGAATGTACTTGGATTTGTGAAAAGTGAAGGTAAAGCTATTCCCAAAATCCCGTATATCCAGAAATAATTCCTGTTTTGAAAATTCCTTCCATGTAAAAGTTGTATTCCTTCTAAAGTTACGCGAAATTAAAAAAAAATTCATGACGTTCGAAGTGCGGAGCCTAAAGTTATAGTCGTCCAAAGTTTGGCGAAATCGATCGGAAAAAAGCTCATTCGGGGAAACAAACGGCGTTTTTCTAGGACAAAAGCGCAACCAAACCGCCTGCAGAAGTTTCGCCATGCAAGATCTCGGAAACTTAAGCGGAATAAAAAACTCGCTACGATCGGGTACGCGAGCACAAAGTTATGTTTGTTTCATGTTTCGACATAAGATTGGATTGAAATAAAATATCCATACAAACTGTTGTATAGGGGGTGGGGGGGGGGGGGGGGTTTGCACATGAACCGCTGCTTCCCGACGTAGTTTATCATTATTTGTTCCTAGAGAAGTTAATCTCGGGTTCTGAATAACAATGATGCATTCAGGGGAACACTCCTTTCCAACTTCATCCTTACATCAAATACGTTGTGCTGTTGCGGAGAGTTTGAAGCAAGAAGCGTCACATTGTCAATAGTATCGAATTCTGAGTCCATAGGAGGGGATAAGCACTTACAACTTCATATTTTGATTGATAAAACATTATGGTTAGTGGATGCATGACATTAATGTTCGAATATATGATTTATTGCTTGAATCAATACATATTGTTTAGTGAAGTGGTGATATCTGGACCAATTGGTAAATGATTTCATAGAAACGATTAAGACCGATTCTGATTATCAAACAGACATGAGATTTCCACATGTGATTATTGTACATTTAATTATTGCTTTCCATATCTTTCTTACCAAACCCTAACAAATCCTTTAGGAATCTCTTTGTCTCTGGTTCTTCCTTCACTAGTCGCCTCACAATGATGCCTTCTTGGATCATAATTGCATAGCTCAATCAAAGGAATAAAATTCCTTGTTCGAGAACACAAGAACAAGGTATTCCAAAGAGCTTGGGTACACTACAAAAAAGACTGTCATTAGTGACGAAAATTAGCGACGACAAATGAAACTCGTCGCTGATGATGACTTTTACTGACAAAATTATATTGTTGTCAGTAATATTTCGTCAACTGGTTGTGTATTTGTGACAAAGGCTAACCTCGTCGGTAAATACGAAAATTCTCGTCATTAAACTCATTATCTGGAGGGAAATTTTGGCGCCATCACTTTTTATGACGAATAAAATATTGTTGTCGGTAATGCTTGTTTTTTGGTCAGAATGTTGTCGATAATGTTTCAACAAGTAGTTGTGTATTTGTGACCGAATTTATACCACATCGATAAAGACAACAAATATGTCACCAAACCTATCTTTTGTAGGAAAAATTGGCGTTATCATTATTTATTTATGATGACTGAAATTATGTTGACAGTCATATTTAGTTCAATACTTGTTTGTTTGAGATTATCCTACTTACCTCGTTAAATACAAGCTGCTTCATTGTCCTTCATTTGAAAAATGATAAGTTGTAGTTTTGAAAAGCTCAAACTCAGTGAAAGTCAACAAATATAAGGAATGTAAATTGTAGGATAAATTTTGATAATAAATAAACAGAATTAGGTTTGCAATAAAAGAGCTTCTCAATTATATTATAATAAAAAACTATATTATAATAACATATTAACTATAAATAATAGCTAAAAGGGGAAGCAATGGAAATGTATACTTGTGTACGCTGGAAATATGTTGTAGAGACAATAATTTAAAAGAAAATGTGGGAAGGCAGGAACAAAAAAAGATTTTGTCCGTGGTTTCTTTTCATTCTCATAATCCTACCTTGTCGCCGGTAATGGGTAAAAATATATAACACAGTTTCTTATTTTATTTTATTAATAGTGGTTAATAATCTAGTTCAATCTCAGCCATCACATTTTGGAATTAGATCCTGACCGCTGGTTTAAGTTTTTCATAACAAAAACCCTAGCTTCTCCACATCTTCCCCGCTGGCCGCTGCCGTTCCCCTACATCTTTCTATTTTTCCCTTGCGGAAATCCTCTCTTCTTCTCTTCATTTTAATTTCTTTTTCTATGAAATTAGTCCAACTCACCTCCTTCAACCTTCTTCTTTTTCTCTTTTGCAGTCATGGAGACAGTGATAATGGATGAAGATCAAGCCCGTATAGATTCGATTGTCGGTCCTCTTCCTTCTCGATACATCATTGTTCTTCTTTTCTGATCACTCTCGTTTCAATTTTCTCAATGAAGATGCAATTGCGCTTTTGTTGCTTGCATACTCCCCCACGGTATGAGATGTGTTCTTTACGAAGCGGCGGTAGCAGATCTTGTCCGTTCCCTATTTTGAAGGGTTTCTCCATACTATATGTATATATATTTGCAAGATTTATGTATTGTGGGTGACATGTTGTTAAGTGTTAGATCTATGGTTTTTTCGATTTCTAACTC